AATAACTGGATCTCCTTGGGTACCTGAGATATTTTACAGCTGGACCTAGTTTCACAGTCTCTTGTCTCCAGCTCTGCGTACATTCAGCCAGGTGGCTTCTAGGAAGTAGGTTTCACGTCTAAAAGGTCTCTACTGATGTCCTTTTGAAACATACTGCTCTTGTATTTTATTTTGTTTTGTTTGAAGCTCAGAGGGAGATGGACGATTGACAGGGATGCAATCCAGGGTGGCGTTTCTTGAGGAAGTTACAAATAAGCTTGTTACATCAAGATAGATGGAATTGGAAGGATGCTAGCAGGAGAGTACTTACAAAGTGCTCAGGAGTTTCTCTTTTTAAAATTTTTCCTGCTGAAAGAAGATGAGCAGGACCAGGGTCTTATAGGCAGAGCCCTAACCGAGTAACCTGCTGGCCTCTGCCTGTTTCTGTCCCACTTTAGTTGTGTGGCATTACTTTCAGAATTGCACTTTCCTGCTTGTCGTGATGGTATGTTTCTGTGAACATGAGGTTCTGTGGTGGTGCCTCCAGGGGGAGAGGAAAGGAAGTGTTACTGTGTTTTGTACAAAATAAGTGCATTCAGATGTTTAATAAAACAGTTTGATTGTAGTAACTTGTAAAAGTGTTCCCATTTTTATTTCTGAGTAATGTAATGACTATTTTGTCATCTGAGGCAATGTAACATAGTGAAACTTGGATTTGCATTCCGGCTCTCCCTCATTTTAGATAGAGCAGGCTGTGTCAGCTCTGAGAACCTTTGTTTCATCATTTGCAAAAAGAAAACAATGTTATTTCCCCTGGGTTTGGTGTAAAGATTGAGTAAAACTATAGTCTGTAAAGCATCTAAATCTAACATTGCCATTCAAAGGGATTATGGAATGGACGTTAATGTTGACTCTTTGGCAATGTGTGATCATGTAACTGAATCGAATAGCTTACCCATTTGGCCTCAAGATGAGACTTTCCAAAAGCCTATGGACATTTTTTAATTTTTTGGCCAATGTGATCAGCTGTTTCTTACAGAAAAAGAAACTAGCTCAGAGATGTTTTTGACAACTCTAGAAGTTATCTACATCTTGAATGAAAGAGCTAATTTTGGACCGGATGCGGTGGCTCAATCCTGTAATCCCAGCACTTTGGGAGGCCGAGTCGGGCGGATCACGAGGACAAGAGATTGAGACCATCCTGGTCAACGTGGTGAAACCCCGTCTCTACTAAAAATACAAAAAAATTAGCTGGGCATGGTGGCATGTACCTGTAATCCCAGCTACTCAGGAGGCTGAGGCAGGAGAATTGCCTGAACCCAAGAGGCGGAGTTTGCGGTGCTCAGATCGCACCATTGCACTCCAGCCTGGGTAACAAGAGCGAAACTCCGTCTCAAAAAAAAAAAAAAAAAAGACTAATTTTGAGATAAAGTTAGTGAAGTGTAACATGCAAATAAGAATTATCTATCTGCTCTAACTATGTTTCTAAAAGTGATTGAGCAGCTGTGTAGAGAAGGTTCCACCTGGTTGGTTTCTAACAGCGAAAAATAAATGTGTTCTATACGTGCAGAGTTGTTAACATCCTTGGCGTTATCCAGATGTGTCAAACTCAGCCCGCTACCGTGTTGATTTGCAAGTGTGTTCATTCTTGGTTATTTTCTCCAAGAACAATGACTAAAAACAAGTAAAATCATAGATGTTTGAGTTTGGAATGCATGATAGATACTTTTATGGTTGGTGCTTCTCTTTCTAGTTATCAAGCTGGTGCCCTCAAAAAGCAGTACCTCTAGGTGGCAGTATTTTTTTTTTCTTTTGATAAAAATAAGATGATGACTTAGCAGTTAAAAACTGCTTGTTAATTTAGTGCTGTTTGGATACCTGCTGTATCAACCCGTAGGTCTGGTTCTAGGAATATAATGCACAATAAGAGATTGGCATCACGGGCCAGGCGCGGTGGCTCAAGCCTGTAATCCCAGCACTTTGGGAGGCCGAGGCGGGTCGATCACGAGGTCAGGAGATCGAGACCATCCTGGTCAATATGGTGAAACCCCGTCTCTACTAAAAATACAAAAAATTAGCTGGGCATGGTGGCGTGTGCCTGTAATCCCAGCGACTGAGGAGGCGGAGGCAGGAGAATTGCCTGAACCCAGGAGGCGGAGGTTGCAGTGAGCTGAGATCACGCCATTGCACTCCAGCCTGGGTAACAAGAGCGAAACTCCGTCTCAAGAAAAAAAAAAAAAAAGAGAGAGAGAGAGAGAGATTGGCATCACAGGATTGGCTGGTTCAGCATTCCCAGTAGCAGAGAGTAGCTGCCCAGTGGTGCTGAATTCCCTGCCCTGTTGACATTTCCACTGTCTCACAGGAGTTGTGTGATTTCTGACCACCGCTGGGACCTGTGGGATGGGCATAGGCAGGAGAGTTTCATCACTTCTCAGAATGAAACTCCAGCTCTCATAGAGCTTCTTGACCCAGGCACAACGAACTTGCATCTTGGGCATTTGTGGTCCACTTTACAGGTCAAATCTATAGTATTCTCTTGGCCCATTGTTGGGACAGCAGTGTGACCCCAGTTCTTAGAAACACCGGCATCACAGCCTAGCAATGGTTCCAGCCTGCTCATGGGAGAATCCTTGTGTATACAGGTGGGAAATGAGGCTCCTTGGAGAATAGGACTACTTTATTGGGTTTAACTAGAGAAAGGCCAGTAAGAATTAGTGTCTGGTGTGGATTAATATATTTGTTTGACATCCATTGCAGTTTATATTCATTTGTTTCGCAATTATTTATGTCTGTTACTCTGTTGGTATGTTAAATATAATCATTCAAAAATAGAAATTAAAAGTCAATATAGGGCCAGCCACACTCACTCCTACAATCCCAATACTTTAAGAGGCCAAAGTGGGAGAATCATTTAAGGCCAGGAGTTTGAGACCAGCCTGGGCAACATAACAAGACCCCCCATCTCTAAATAAATGTGAAGGAATGTGCTAATAATTGTTTCCCAGGGATCATCTTGTGTTCCCCTAGAGCTGTGTGCTCCCCACTTTGGAGACCACTGCCCAGGGGAAATCCCTAGCCCCATTATAGCACCGCACCACTCTGTGGTTTATTCCAGGGGTAAAGAAAACAAATGCATCCTGAGGCTAGTATCTACCTCTAGTTGGATCCCTGCTAATCTTCATTGTTATAATAAAATGGCCAGGCTCTGGCTCACACTTGTAATCCCAGCACTTTGGAAGGCAGAGGTGGGTGGGTCACCTGCGGTCAGGAGTCAGAAACCAGCCTGGCCAGCATGGTGAAACCCTGTCTCTACTAAAAATACAAAAATCAGCTGGGTATAGTAGCACACAACTGTAGTCCCCGCTACTGGGGAGTCTAAGACATGAGAATTACTTGAACCTGGGAGGCGGAGGTTTGCAGTGAGCCAAGATGGTGCCACCGCACTGCAACCTGGGCCACAGAGTGAGATTCCATCTCAAAAAAAAACAAAAACAAAAACATTCACAGTTGTGGCTTTCAAGCCCAAGTTTCGGCTGCTGTGAAATTTCTCACCACAGCATTTGGCTACTCCGCCCATTTTATAGGAACTGGTAGCCCTCTTCCACCCCTGCTTTTGTGGCTTTGTTACTCATCTTGCTCAATTTTGTGCTGATAGTAAATGCAAACGCAGAAGTGAAAACTAGCCCCTTGGGGTTCTGTGCCAAGGAGGAACTCTGTCTTTCTTGCCCATTGCTTCTCCCTACAAAACTTTCTCAGGGTCCTGTGCAGTGCAGCTTCATCTCTGGAGAAGGGCATGGGAGCTAATGGGGAGATAAGAACTGGCCCAGCAGCCTGTAGGAGCCACTCAGTAGTCAACTGGAGAACTCCATGCTCGAGTATGGAGGCCTGGAGGCTTGGAAGGTGCAACTCAGTTAAATTTGTATTAGATAACCAATGTATTTTAGATGAACAAATGATTTCCTGTTTAGGTGTCAACAAAGTCTTCCTCTGTGGGTGCAATGGCACGATATCAGCGTATTGCAACCTCCACCTCCCAAGTTCAAGTGATTCTCCTGAAATTATGGTAGCTGAAAACTACAGGGGGACACTACCACACCCGGCTAATTTTTGTATTTTTAGTAGAGTTTCACCATGTTGGTCAGGGTAGCCTCCATCTCTTGACCTGATTCACTCATTCAGCCTCCCAAAGTGCTGGGATTACAGGCATAAGCCACTGCAGCTGGCCAAATTTTTTGTATTTTTAGTAGAGATGGGGTTTTGTAATGTTAACCAGTTTTGTTTTGAATTCCTGACCTCAGGTGATGCAGCCACATCCACCTTCCAAAGTGCCACCATGCCCGGACAGAGTCCAGACAGCCCAGGGAGATGTTACGCAAAGAACACACCCAGGGGCAATGCCTAGAAACTGGGGAAGTAGGCGTCTGACCCTCTTTAGGTTCCCATCTCAGCTGAGTATCAGATCATCTCTTTTTTTGAGACGGAGTTTCGCTCTTGTTACCCAGGCTGGAGTGCAATGGCGTGATCTCGGCTCACCGCAACCTCCGCCTCCTGGTTCAGGCAATTCTCCTGTCTCAGCCTCCTGAGTAGCTGGGATTACAGGCACGCGCCACCGTGCCCAGCTAATTTTTTGTATTTGTAGTAGAGACGGGGTTTCACCATGTTGACCAGGATGGTCTCGATCTCTTGACCTCGTGATCCACCCACCTCGGCCTCCCAAAGTGCTGGGATTACAGGCTTGAGCCACCGCGCCCGGCCCTCAGATCATCTCTTTGTCTCCTGTCTTTGCTCACTGTAACTGCCTCAGTCCACAAACCAAAGTCCCACCACTTAGAGAAAATGTGGCCTCTGGTCTTTATCTCACTGAACAGGCCTTGACCACCTCTGAAAACTGAGTTAGTCTCTGCACGGACAAAGGCTTGTATTAATCTCCACTAAACAAGACAGTGAGTTGTTCTCTAATCTTGCCACAAAACAAACAGAAAACAAGACAGTGAGGACTGCCAACAACTTATCTCCACAGTCTAGGGATATGGTTTATTTTTAACACTGGGATGTATCCTATGACTAGGAAACACTGGGGGGGTGGAAAGCAGAGGCTTTGAAGGCAGGACAGCTATATGATCTTGCTCAATCATGATACATGTTCGTTGAATGTTTAGTATGTGCCAGGCACTGTGCTAAATGCTTTACAAAGATTATCTCACTGGATCCTTAAAACAGTAAATCTGAGGTAGTAACTAGTTTCATTTGACATGTCAGAAAACTGAAACAGGTTAGAACAACTTGCTCATAGAAAGAAAGGAAAAAAAAACTTGCTCATGGTCCTGGCTGGTAGGTAGCAAGCTGGGATCCTAACCCAGTCTCATACTTTCCAAGTCCTCACCCTTAACTGCAGCTGGTCAGCATCCAAATGTACTTGGCCACACAGACTCTTCCCTAATCTTAAAATCAGGCCATTCTGTACCTCGGAAAGTTGAGGATTTGGATATGGTTTGTAAGTGCCTGGCACATAGTCAGAACTTAATAAATGATAGCTGTTCTCATCTATGTAGAAGCTCATTTTCATTCTATGATTGGCTCCCCTCATTTCACCGGCTTTTGTGGGCCAAGGTCCTAAGATTCTGCTCTTGAAGCCAGGTTCCCACATTAATGACACCCGTTTACCACATGGGGATCTATCAGGCTAGGTGTTCCAGACACGAGGAACACAGTCCAGGCCTCCCGGGGCTTAGAGCTTGGGGGTGAGAGTCGGGTTGGCAAACCTTCCCAAAATCTCCCATGCAGTGATCAGGATGGAATCCTCTTGACTGAGAGCCGCTGGTATCACCAAGGTTGGTGGCCTGATTCTCATCTGCACCCATCGGTGGGACAGCTGGGGCTGCAGGATTGAGGAGCCCGGCTAGCTGCTCTGCACCCCAAGGCTCTGAGGCTGAGGGAGTCATGTGCGGGGTGTCAGGTCCAAACCAGCCCACCCTAAGTAGCAGGAATCTGGAACCTGAAGGAAGCTGGTGCAGTGTGCATCAAATCAGTCCCCACACAGCCATTCCCTGTGCGCACTTCAGTTTCTCTGAGGCCTTGCCCGAGGTCTTTTAGAGGCTTGTAACACTTAGCGGGCGTCAGATTCCCTGAGAAGCAGCAGTTAGGACGCACGGTTCCTCCAGAACTCAGATGGTTTTCTGAAAGCTCTCAAGTATTTCTTCATAATCATGTTCATCATCGTCTGCAAAAGAGTCAATGACGATCTTTGGCATTAGGCAAGTTCCTTCCCTTTAGGGCCGTTTCCTCACCTGTGCAGGGAAGGAGTTGGCCTGGATGCTCAAAGGTCCTTGCTAGCCTAGAAACCACAACTTGTCTCCACACTTTGCAACCATTTCATTTTCCTGTCTGCTGCAGGGAGGGTAGAGTGCTGGGAACTGAACTCATTTTCCAGGCCAAAGCTCTGGGGCCCTTGGGAAAGATAGTAGGGACCTTTCTACCTGAGCCCACCCAAGAGACCTGTCCATCAAATTGGGACCACAGAAGGGTCTGTCCCCGGGCAAGGCCAGAGGCAAAGGAACCAGCAAGATAGTGAGGGGAGACACCAGGACATGGATGAGCGGTGCCCACAGGGACTCACCTAGATCCTGTGTTTGGGGCTTAGTGGGCCTGTGGCCCTTCTTGTGGCCAGGAATCTTGGTGTACGTACTGGAGCTATCCGTGGTGAACTCTGGCAAGGTCTTCGCCTTGGGTTTGGGTAGCAGAGGGGGTTGCTTCGGTCCTAAGACTTGAGAAGACTTTGGGAGAAAAAGCAGAAAGAAATCAGCAAGGTCTCAAATGGGGAAGCAGGGTCCATGAAAAACTCATTCACGTGTCACTTCGCCTGCTTCTCTCTACTTCCTTTTCAGGCTATGGCTTCTCAAGGCCCCTGGTGTTTTTCCTACAAGCATGTGAAATATTCTCTGGCAAGGGAGAAAGGGGTCAGGGTAGAAAATGAGGACAGGGTTGGGGGCTGGAGACGGGGTGTTCCTGGGATTCTCCACTTAGGAATGCCGTCCATGTCTAATTCTGTTGCTGAAGGGGAAAAAAGCAAAGTGGGGAGAGCTTAAGAAAGCAGCTGCAAAGCTTCCTGACAGTGCCTGAGCTGAGGAGGCCCAGCAGGAAGAGGACTTTCACTGCACGCCTCCGTGTGCCAGATACTACGTGACGTCCTTAATCCTCAAGTCACCCTCTGAGTGGTTTCAATTCCCAGTTTGTGTAGGAGAAAGCGTGCCTTGTCAAAAGTCACGAGGGGTATCCACAACAAGGCCAAGGTTTGGACCCAGAGCCACGCCTGTAACCTCCAAAGGCAGCGGGTCTTCGTGCCACACCGTGTTTTACAGAGCAAGCGCACAGCTCCCTAATCAGCAACGATTCCGATGCACGAAGGGGAAAAGTTGTGGTCCCAGGACGATAGCAGTGACAGGGCCCAGAGTGCCACCATCAGGAGCCAAGACTCGGGCTCCGGTCTCTCGGTTCTGGGAAGTCCCCTTTCCTGCACTGGCACAGGCCTGTGTTTCGGATGAACCAGTCCAGCCATTGTCAGAAAATGACTTCCTGACTTCCCCACCCTCACCCCAAGATAAAAGCCCCTTCTGGGGCTGAGACCACCCAGGAGTCATCTTGTAACTTCCACTGCCACCTGCTGCCTATCACACATGACTGAATACGAGTCACCCAAGATCCCAAAACAGGAGCTGGTGACAGTAAAGGACTTTTGATCTGTCTCATCCCCTCCCGTTCTCAACAGAGCACAGCAGGTGGACGCTCAGGCTGTGCGGCCAGACCCAGTTACAAGCCCTGGCCCCGCCACTTGTTGGCTGCGTTGCACCTCTCACCTTCAACTGTGAAGCGAGATACCAGTATCTAACTCAGAAGCATCAAGAGAGTAGTTGAGGCAAAGCCTATCGGGGGCCCGCCACAGAGTAAGCAGGTCACAGAGGAAGCACAGCAGCAGCTGAGGATGGTATCGCAGGTCTGCTGGTGAGAAAAAGAACGCCAGAGTACCATGCACGAGCACAGAGTGAGTGAACGGGAACGTAAACTTAGTCTTTCTGACCCTGTGCCTGGCTCCTTCCTGCTCATCTGTGACTCTATCTGGCTCGTTTCACGGTACTCTTCCGGCCTTGGAGCGGGTAAGGTCCCTGCCCTCAAAGAACTCTTTCCAGCCAGTCTCAGGACTCCCTAAAAGATGTGTCCTGAGCTACGTAGAGCACACAGTGGGAGTACAGGAGAGGAGGCAGGACCACAGCTGCTGAGCGGGAAATCTGAGCCCCGCCTTGCCTGTGAGCCTGAAGGAAGAACACTGCTGGCAGAAGGCCCGGGTGTGGGGGTCTGAAGCCGGAGTCACGGCCCCATAAGGGAGGGGCAGACACTTCCCTCTCTGGAGGGTGGACAGCAGAGTGGTGGGAAATGGGTCCAGGAAGGTGAGACAAGTCAGCTTATAAAGGACCCTGGCTGCCATGTTGGGGGGTTTGTATCATCCCACAGTGATGAGGAGCCACAGAAGGTTCCAGAAGATGGAGCTGAGGCCCATCAATGACCAAGAAAGGAGTTAGGACTTTCTGACAGCTGTTAAGAGGCTGCTGAAGGAGTTCAGGAGAAAAATGATGAGGCTGGAACTAGGGAGTGAAGGCAGAGGTGGTGGAGAGAGGAAAGCACCATGAACGTGGAGTTGGAATGTCCATGGCCAAGTTCAGTCCTGCCGCTTACTAACAGGGACCCTGGGCGAGTCCTCATTTTCTCAGTCATAACAGAGATAATCACCCCAACCTCAGGACTGATTGTGAGATGGAATGAGAATTACGGGCTGCAATGTGTGCAGGCTTACAAACTGCAAGTTTACACAGTTGTAAGGGAAACATGACAGACGTGACAGAAGCAGTGATCCCAGTAACTGACCCCTCCCTGCCCGCTGGGATTATACTGGTACCTTGACGCCTCCCTTCTTGCTGCTGTGTCTCTGCTGCCCACTGAGTCCCTGACTTTTCGGGGGCCTTGGTGGAGGGGCTTGGATCTCACAGGCTGCTAACTTCCGAAGAGTGTAATAGAAGGTGTCTGGCAGCTCCTCCACTGTGGCTATGGGCACAGACCCCCCTGGCCGGTCTGACAGCACCTCGGCCTCCACGACAGTCAGGTCCAGCCACCGGGGAGGGATCTCGAAGCACATTCCAGGCTCAGAATCCAGGCTGACCACCAAGAAGGGCTCTGTGATCTTCTCCTCCAGCTGCAGACCCAGTACAGCAGTCAGAGGGTCACTGGGGTAACTGGGATCCTTGACCATCACCCTGACCTCACAAGGCAGTGAGAACTGGGCAATCAGATCCGCCAGGCTGTGGCGCCGGCTGTCACTCATCTCCTCCACGAAGCTGCCAGGGAAGTGGAGGGGCAGCAGGACCCGCTCTGGGCTCTCTGCCTCCTCTTCACACTCTTCCTCCTCATCCTCATCACTCAGCCGCTGACAAACCAAGACATCAATGTCACTGCCCTGGGCCCCATGGGCCAGGCCAAGCCCCAGTACCTCCAGCCTGTCGCCCACAGCCAGGGATGTGAACTCAGGATTCTCCTCTCTCTCGCCCTCACAGTCCTTTGTGGCCACCACCCGGAGTGGCCGGCCTGGCTGGAATGCACCCAGGAGGTCATAGACCGTGGAGAACTCCCGTGGCCGCCGCCGCAGCTTGCCCTGGTAGGCCCCTGACACCAGGAAGTACCTGGGCACCCTGTGGCCCTTGTTTGAGGCCAGGACCCGCCAGGGTGGTGAGGCTACGCCATGGATGCGAAGCCTCTGGCCTCTCCTCAAGGATTGTACCCATGGGCTGAGGAAGATGTGGCGCCCTTCAGGAACCTCCAGGATCTCCACGGAGAGGGGAAAGGGGCCTTCCCGGGCCAGGACCTCACTCAGCAGCAGTGGCTGGATGAAGTGGATGTGCTGTGAGGAGGCGGTGACGTCCTCCACGTCGACCTCCAGATTGGAGGGGATTGTGACGATGGTCCTGCGCACTGTGGAAAGGGACAGCTCAGCGCACTGCATGCCACCCCAGGAGTGGCCCCATCCTTGGCACAGAGGAATGGCTGGGCCGGCTGCCTCCCTCCTGCTGCCATCTTTTCCTTCCAGTCAGAGTCTTCCTATTGCACCGCATTCCCACCCATGCTTTCCGTTCAACCTTTTTTTTGAAAAAGTCTCACCCTGAGTAGCTGGGACTACAGGCGTGCACCACTACGCCCGGCTGATTTTTGTATTTTCGGTACAGGTGGGGTTTCACCGTGTCAGCCAGGATGGTTTCCATCTGTTGACCTAGAGATACCCTTGCCTCAGCCTCCCAAAGTGCTGGGATTATAGGGTGAGCCACCGCGCCCAGCCTATTTTAAAACATTTATAAAATAGAATAGTACAGTGCTCCCCCATGGACCCATCACCCAGCTTCAACATTTCACTCACGGCCCATCTGCTTCAGCCTGTGGCCCTTCCACTCCTGCTCTGCTGGGTCATTCTGAATCAGAATAACGACATCGGGCCATGTGTGACCATCTCTGTGTGTCTCTAAGAGGGGATCATTATTTCTAGAAAGATCACCACAGGCCGGGTGCAGTGACTCACGCCTGTAATCCTAACACTTTAGGAGGCTGAGATGGGCAGATTGCCTGAGCTCAGGACTCTGAGACCAGCCTGGCCAACATGGTGAAACCCCATCTCTACTAAAAACACAAAAAATTAGGTGGGTGTGGTGGCTCATGCCTGTAATCCCAGCTACTCAGGAGGCTGAGGGAGGAGAATCATTCGAACTCGGGAGGCAGAGGTTGCAGTGAGCCAAGATCATGCCATTGCACTCCAGCCTGGGTGACAAGAGCTTGAAACTTCATCTTAAAAAAAAATTAGCCAGGTAGGGTGGTGCACACCTGTAATCCCAGCTACTCTGGAGGCTGAGGCACAAGAATCACTTAAACCTGGGAGGCAGAAGTTGCAGTGAGTTGAGATCATGTCACTGCATTCTAGCATGGGTGACAGACTGAGACTGTCTCAAAAAAAAAAACACACACACACACACACACACACAAAGGGCCAGGAGCGGTAGTTCACACCTGTAATCCTAGCACTTTGGGAGGCCGAGGTGGGCAGATCTTGAGGCCAGAAATTCCAAGACCAGCCTGGCCAGCATGGCACACAGAAAAACCCTGATTACTAAAAATAGAAAAATTAGCTGGGTACGGTGGTGCGTGCCTGTAATCCCAGCTACTCAGGAGGCTGAGGCAGGAGTATCACTTGAACCCGGGAGGCAGAGGTTGGAACGAGCCAAGATCCACCATTGCACTCCAGCCTGGGTAACAGAGCAGGACTCTTTTTCTTTTGTTTTTGAGGTAGAGATTTGCTCTTTGTTGACCAGGCTGGAGTGCCATGGCATGATCTCGGCCCACCACAACCTCCGCCTCCTGAGTTCAAGTGATTCTCCTGCCTCAGCCCCCAGAGTAGCTGGGATTACAGATGTGCGCCATCATGCCCAGCTACTTTTGTATTTTTAGTAGAGACAGGGTTTCTTCATGTTGGTCAGGCTAGTCTCAAATTCCTGACCTCAGGAGATCTGCCCGCCTCGGCCTCCCAAAGTGTTGGGATTACAGATGTGAGCCACCATACCCAGCAGAAGACTCCCTTTCAAAAACAAAAAAAGATGAGATCTTGCTCTGTTGCCCAGGCTGGAGTGCAGGGGCGTGATCATAGCTCACTACAACCTTGTACTCCTGAGCTCCAACAGTTCCCCTGCCTCAGCCCCCGGAGTAGCTGGTACTGCAAGCACTATGCCGATGCCTAGCTAATTTTTTTTTTTTTTTTTTTTGACACAGAGTCTCACTCTTGTTGCTCAGGCTGGAGTGCAATGGCATGATGTCAGCTCACTGCGACCTCTGCCTTCCGGGTGCAAGCAATTCTCCTGCCTCAGCCTCGAGTAGCTGGGATTACATGCATGCGCCACGACACTCAGTCAATTTTTGTATTTTTGGTGGAGATGGGGATTCTCCATGTTGGTCAGGTTGGTCTTGAACTCTCGACCTGAGGTGATCTGCCTGTCTGGGCCTCCCAAAGTGCTGAGATTACAGGTATGAGCCGCTGTGCCTGGCTGCCTAGCTAATTTTTAAAAAAATGTTGTAGAGATGGGAGTCTTGCTATGTTGCCTAGTCTGGTCTGGAATACCTGAGTTCAAGCAATCCTCTGAAGTGCTGGGATTACATGCCTGAGCCATTGTGCCTGGCCTGGCTGAGATGATTTGAGCATCAATAAGAATAACTGCAGTGTAGGCCGGGCGCGGTGGCTCAAGCCTGTAATCCCAGCACTTTGGGAGGCCGAGGGGGGTGGATCACAAGGTCAAGAGATCGAGACCAACCTTGGTCAACAAGGTGAAACCCCGTCTCTACTAAAAATACAAAAAATTAGCTGGGCATGGTGGTGCATGCCTGTAATCCCAGCTACTCACGAGGCTGAGACAGGAGAATTGCCTGAACCCAGGAGGCGGAGGTTGCGGTGAGCCAAGATCGTGCCATTGCACTCCAGCCTGGGTAACAAGAGCGAAACTCCGTCTCAAAAAAAAAAAAAAAAAAAAGAATAACTGCAGTATAATACCAGAGGGAGCAATCTGAAGTTCCTGCTGATCCCCAGGGATAGGGTGGGAGTGTCTTCCATCAGAGCAGCTCCCCGGGGCACCCCTCTTTCTCTCCCAACAGCCCCCATCATCCTCCTGCCCAGGAAACTCACTGTGCATGATGGCTTCGATCTCATACGTGGGCCTCAGGGTCACGTGGTCCCAGGGCAGGGCGGGGCAGGTGAAGAGCTGGCCATTCGGTTCCTGCAGGGCCTGGAGCAGAGTTTGAGGAGCACCGGCTTCCAATATCCTGAAGGGCCCCCTCTGCTTTAGGGGCAGGTGCAGGATGACCCGCTCATCCTCTGTGACCAGGACGCAGCGGGCACAGGAGGTGTGGTGGTGCCGTGCCACAGCCTCAAAAATGAGGACCTCGTCGTCAGTCACCACCCTGCCCTCTGTGACAATCCTGCAGGTCGACATGATGTAAATGGGCAGCTGCTGCTTGGAGCTCCGCTCTATGTCAAAGACCAGCTCCCCCAGGGTTTGGTAGCACTGAGAGATGTTGAGGGGGATGAAGTGGCCTGTGGGGGACAGCAGAGAGCGGGAAGGTCATTGTGGGATGTCAGGGTGGAGTCAGCCTTTGCCAGGTCCGGGCCTCAGTCTGGCCCTGCAGGTGACCCAGCCAGAATCCCCCGGGGACAGGTGTCAAGGAAGGACTTGCGTCTGGACATCTGGGCTGCGGGGCCGAGGGACGCAGGGCACAAAGTGGCGGTGCCTGAAGGGACAGGGAGGGGCAGGGACAGGAAGTAGGGACTGTCACTAGAGACAGAATGGAAGAGGGTCCTATATCCTGGCAGACACACTAGACTTGCACACTCTTAGCTCCTGGCGGGCCTCTGCCTTTGCCATCTTCCCTTTTCTCCACATGCCTCCCCACAGCTCCAGTTCCACTCATCCAAAACCTACGGCCCCATCATGCGGCAATGCCACGATCCCTCTCTCCCAAACTAACATCCCAGGAGCTACGGGCCAGAGCCACCTCCCACCACCCACTTCACCCCTGCATCCTGCCAATACCGGCTGCCCGACTGCTCCCGCACCTCCTGCCTCCAGCCCCCACCCATTCTGCCACCAGCTGGCCTCAACACCTCCCTTGCAGACCTGGTACTGCTTCGGGAAGCGGGCTTTTCCTGCCCTAGACCCACACCCTGAAGCTAATGGAGACAACACCGCACAAGCTGGGACTGAGGGATATTCTATGCAAGTACTGGTCTAGATGCTTCCAAATGTCAACGGCAAGAAAAAGGCGGAGGAACGTTCCGGCCTCAAGGAGAATGAAGAGATAGGACAACTGGGCTGGGCGTGGTGGCTCACGCCTGTAATCCTAGCACTTTGGAGGCCAAGGCCGGCGGATCACCCGAGGTCAGGAGTTCAAGACCAGCCTGAGCAACACAGTGAAACCCCCGCCTTAAAAAAAAAAAAAAAGGGCCGGGCACGGTGGCTCAAGCCTGTAATCCCAGCACTTTGGGAGGCCGAGGCATGTGGATCACGAGGTCAAGAGATCGAGACCATCCTGGTCAACATGGTGAAACCCCGTCTCTACTAAAAATACAAAAAATTAGCTGGACATGGGCCAGGCGCGGTGGCTCAAGCCTGTAATCTCAGCACTTTGGGAGGCTGAGGCAGGTGGATCACGAGGTCAAGAGATCGAGACCATCCTGGTCAATATGGTGAAACCCCGTCTCTACTAAAAATACAAAAAATTAGTTGGGCATGGTGGCGCGTGCCTGTAATCCCAGCTACTCAGGAGGCTGAGACAGGAGAATTGCCTGAACCCAGGAGGCGGGGGTTGCGGTGAGCCGAGATCGCGCCATTGCACTCCAGCCTGGGTAACAAGACCGAAACTCCGTCTCAAAAAAAAAAAAAAAAAATTAAAGAACAGTAGCAGCGCACCCCACAGCCCCCAGATAGTCTGGCTCCTGCAGCTCCCCCGACAACTTGACCCAAACCTGGAAGCCATGCTCTATGGCATCTGGCAGGTAGTCACATAAGAGCCAGTCCTCAGGGTGCCTGCTTTGCCCCAGGCACACTCTTTTTTGAGACTGAGTCTTGCTTGGTCGCCCAGGCTGCAACCTCTACCTTCCATGCTCAAGTGATTCTCATGCTTCAGGCTCCCAAATAGTTGGGATTACACGTGCCCCCACCACCCCTAGCTAATTTTTCTAATTCTAGCAGGGATGGGTTTTCACCGTGTTGGCCAGGCTGGTCTCGAACTCCTGACCTCAAGTGATCCACAAGCCTCGGCCTCCCCAAAGTGTCTGGATTACAGGCATGAGCCACCAGTCACCATGCCCAGCCTGTCCCAGGCCCCCCTCTTCTAAGTGCTTTATACATATCAGCTCATTTCATCTTCACATAATGCCTAATCACCCTCATTACAGAAGAGAAAACAGGCCCAGAGAGGTCCCAGGAACTTGCCTGGCTTGCCCAAGGCCAGAGCTAGTAGCCAGCAGAGCTGGGATTTGATTCCAGGCCGCTGGCTTCAGGGTCCAGGCCGTGGTCCACCACACTACATGCCTCTTAAAATAACGCAGCTCCTTGGGGTTTCCTGAGCACCAAATGCTACTCCCTCTGACTGGTATCTTTCCTTTGGCTCAGGTGCCACCTCCTCCAGGAAGCCCTCACAGACCCTGAGGCAAGTTACTCTTGCTCAGAGCCCTCTGTAAAGCTTATGCCTCCTTTTACTGTTGCCCTCCTCTCCCTGTCACCCTGGAAGCTCCCCACTGGAGAGGGTGGCACCTGGTTCATCCTGAGCCCCACAGCCCCCCACACAGCTCGGCACACATGGGTGTCCACAGAGCCCCACACCCACAGCCCCGCACACAGCTCGGCACACATGGGCGTCTACAGCTGTTTGGGGAGCAAATGTGTAGAGTGAACACAGACAGGCCTCTGGACAAGGCGTGGAACAGAAGCCAACGTGATGACCAGAGACCGAAAGGGAGAGAGGGCAACCTCTGCATTCAGAGGACTGCAGACCCTCCGAGGACATCCACACCCTCGAGCCTGGGTCGTGGTGGATGTGAGGGCCTCGTGAGCAAACGCCAGAGAGGAGGGAGTGACTGCTGGATTTAGCAAGCCCACAAACAGCCCATGAGTGTACCAGGAAGGTGCCAGGGCACGTGGGGAGGCAGAGGTGGCCACCTTACCCTGGAAGTTGGGGTCAATCGTCCTGATCACCATTTTCATCTTCGGGTTTTCGTAGGTCACATACTGGAGGTGAACCTGGGTAACCTTCATCAGGTCCCCCGTGCAAAGGCAGCATTCTTTCCCCCCGATGTCATAGATGGAGCCTGTGAAGACATGGACTCAGTTTCCCCACTGTACAAGAGCTAAGCGCGGGGCAGCCTGTGCTCTGGTGCCCAACAAGCTCTGCTGTCACCTTTGCACGTGGTGCCTGCTGCCTGGTATGCCCTGCTGTCGTCCCTCCCTCATGCTCACACGTTCAGCCGTCCTTAGCTGTCCGTGTGCCCCTCTGTGGGGCACTTCTCTGGCCGTTTTCTCATCCCCATGCCTCCTACACTGAGTTCCCAGGTAGGGCTGATCCCTCTCACCACTGCAGCCAGCGCAGGGCTGGGCCTCTGAGTGTGGGGTAAGTCCACAAATGAGTCAATAACCCGGTGAATCACCCTCTCTGAGCCTGGTTTTGTCTCTGCACACTAAAGGAAACCGAATTCCCAAAATCAGGCTCAGAGAGGGGTCAGTGGCTCCCAGCAGGTCACCCAGAGCCCAGCCTCCCCAGCACCCTGGAGAATAAAGGGGCACCGACAGAGAGGCCCAGTGGGCAAGATTCTGCTTTCCTGGTTTAAAGTGTGTAAACAGTGTCGAGAACACAGAAGGTGCCCAATAACTATCTATCATGTGCATGCGGAGGGCAGAGGCTCTGCATCCAGCTAATGAAGGAGGACAGACTATATGGCAGGTGGCCCTGAGCCCACCTGACCCCAGCCCCTCCCACAGGGCAGCCCCAACAGACTCCTTCACATCAGCCCTGAGAAACTGATGAAAATCTCACTGCATATCCCCAGGAAAATGGCAACAGGTCATAAAGCACAGTTCCATCTACCCTAACGTCAGGGCATGGGCCTTCCAGACTGGTAAGAACAGAAGCTGTGGTGCTATAGTTATCTGGCCCGGTGCTGACGCATCATTGCATTTGACTCATGACTGCTCTTGCGGAGACACGCAGTTTCAATTTCCTAAATAATGTAACAGCTGGCCAGGCATGGTGGCTCAGGCCTATAATCCCAGCCCTTTGGGAGGCTGGTGCAGGCAGATCACTTCAGGTCAGGAGTTCAAGACAAGCCTGGCCAGCATGGTTAAACCCCATCTCTATTAAAAATACAAAAATTAGCCAGGTGTGGTAGCAGGTGCCTGTAATCCAAGCTACTTGGGAGGCTGAGGCAGGAGAATTGCTTAAACCCAGGAGGCGGAAGTTTCAGTGAGCTGAGATTGAGCCACTGCACTGCACCCTGGGGGACAGAGCGAGAGTCCATTAAAAAAAATAAAGAAAATTATATATATGTTAGCTGGGCATGGTGCAAGTGCCTGTAATCCCAGCTACTTGGGAGGCTAAGGCAGGAGAACAGCTTGAACCCGGGAGTCAGAGGTTGCAGTGAGCTAAAGTCAGTCTGGGTGACAGAGGGAGACTCTATCTCAAAAAAAGAGAAAGGAATGAAGGAAAGAAAGAAAGAAAAGACTGTAAAATACAGAAATAAAAAGGCCGGGCATGGTGGCTCACGCCTCTAATACAAGCATTTTGGAGGCCAAGGTGGGAGGATCACCTGCGATCAGGAGTTCAAGACCACCCTGACCAACATGGTAAAACCCCATATTTAAAATAAATAAATAAATAAATAAATAAATAAATAAATAAATAAATAAAGAGAAAGAAGGAAAGAAAGAAGGAAAAGAAAGTAAGAAAGAAGAAGAAGAAGAAAAAGATCAGGTAATAGGAATCAGAACTAGAAGTTATCACTGGCTGTGGTGGCTCACACTGGTAATCCCAACACTTTGGGAGGCTAAAAAGTAGGATTGCTTGAGGATAGGAGTTCAAGACCAACTTGGGCAACAGACCCCCATTCCTTTTTTTGAGACAGGGTCTCACTGTCACCCAGACTTTGGGAGTCTGAGGCAGGAGGGTCACTTGAACTCAGGGATTTGAGTCATGCTTCTAGGCAACATAGTAAGACTGTGCCTCTACACAAAATTAATAAATCAGTTGGGTGTGATAATGCATGCTTGTAGTCCCACCTACTCATGAGGCTGAGGTGGGAGGATTGCTTGAGGCTGGGAGGTTGAGGTTGCAGTGAGCTGTGACTGCACCTCTGACACAGTGAGACCCTGTCTCAAAAAAAAAAAAAAAAGCAGGATCGGTGTTGCACAAGTTGGTCTATGTTTCATTAAACAAAAAACAGGGCCTGGAGTGGTGGCTCATGCCTGTAATCCCAACACTTTGGGAGGCTGAGGCAGGCAGATCACTTGAGCCCAGGGATGTGTGACCAGCCTGGGCAATGTGACAAAACCCCATATTTACAAAACATATGGAAATAGCTGGGCGTGGTGGTGCACGCCTGTGGTCCCAGCTTCTTAGGGAGCTGAGGTGGGAGGATCCTGAGCCCAGGAGGTCAAGGCTGCAGTGAGCTGTGAAGGTTCCGCTCCACCTAGCCTGAGCAGAGCCACTCTTGTCAAAAAATAATAAAAACCTAGGAGTTGAACCCATGGCATTTTCCTCCAGAGCCAGCCCTCCTAACCACGAAGCCAACCACCTCCCAGTGCCCTGCCAGACGCCTGCCCCTATTGGCATGGCCATCTGTCCTCCACACTCACCCGGCACACCCACACCTCCTCAGGGCCTTCTCTAGTCACCATCACCCTGACTTCCACCACCCCGCCTCAGCCAGGATGAGGAAACTCAGGTTTGCGACACCAGCAGGCAAGAGTGCTGGGAGAATGGAGACCCTTGCTTGGGCTGGGGGAAGAGCAAACAGATGAGGCGCCTGTCTGCAGGAACCCTTGGAGGTAGGGACAGAATTTGAACCCACATCCACCAGATTCACAAGCAGACCTGGAGAGACCCATTGTGAGGTGGTGGCCCCCTGCGGGACCCACCTTGTGAGACCTCCTTGGTCTGGGACCCCCAAACACTCTGTTGGAAGCAGCTGTGGCACAGCAAGGTTTTCTGCAGCCAGGGAACAGGACGGGGCAGGGGCCTCAAGCCTCAGTTCGCTCTCTAAGGAAGGAACCCGCACCCCACACAGCATCTCTCTCCTCCACCTTCCATCCCCCGCACTTAGTGGCCCACGGGTCCTTCCTCGCCACAGAGCAGCCCTGGCCACCCATTCCCTGTGCTGTCCTCCCCTGCCTTCCACTGTGAGTCCCTCGACTCTTGCTCTTTCAGACAATGATCAGTGACTGTGCGCCTGCTGGGTGCCCATCCCTGTGAACCAGGCCGCTGCGGGCAGGTGGTGGATATACGGGCGAGCTGGGAGCAGACAGCCGGGAAGGCTTTCGGGAGGAAGAGCCATTTAAGCTAAGAACTGAATCGCTGACCAAATCAAGTACCGCTCACGGTCAAGCAGAGGGCCAAGGTGGGCGCAGGGACCGAAGGAAGGCAGTGTAGAGGAAGGCCAGTGGGTGGAGTGGAAAGACAAAGTCGGAAAGACTACTGACCCCGCACTTCAGAATCAAGACGCAGTCACGAGCACTAGCGCCCTAATGCTGCGTTCCGCGGCAGTCGGACCTCCGTCTCATGCGCACCGCGGGGCCACCCCAGGGTGGCTCCTTTGCATTCACCTTTTCATCACCACCCTCGGGGCAGGTCCCCCTTCCACGAAAGCAAAAGCTGTGATCCAGAGAGGTTGAGTGCGGCCCCAAATCACACAGCTTGGCCAGTGGCAGTGTCGGGATTTGAACCTGGCTGGTTCCCGGGATTGCTAACGCCCTCTCGGGAGTCTCTGCCCCCGCCCCACAGCTAGGGAGAACTCGGAGGGTTTCCAGCCCCTGCTTACTTGAATAATAGTACCCCGAGGAGATTCGCAGCACGCGCGGGAGGGAGGCGAGGTTCAGGGTGCGTATGAAGTCCTGCAGCGGCATGGGTTCCATGGTGCCCGTGTCTCTCTGGGCTCAGACTGAGGGGCTGGCAGGTGCGGCTCTGAAGAGCCCTGAAGCCCCGCCTCGCTTTCGCTCCGCCCCGCAAGCCGAAGCCCCGCCCCGCCAGCCTGAGGAGCCCTGCAGCCGCGCAGCCCCACCCCCGCCGATGCCCGGCTCCACTGACCCGGGCGGTATCCCAGGGGCAGGGGCGATGATGAAGATGCAGAAGTCCCAGATGCCCCTTCAGAAGTGCTCCCAGTTAGAACAAGGCCCAACTTGTTCTGCGGCTCATAGGAGGGACATAGCCCTGCCCTTTGGTTTGAGGAGGAAGATGGAGTGTCGGGGTTACTGAATGTCCCTCCGGGACCCTCCACGGTCCTCTATCAGACACCTCCTGCTAAAGGGGAACTCATTATCTCTCCAGGACTCTAATACGCTTTCTTTCGACAATTATTGCCCACGTTGGCCTCGAACTCCTGGACTCAAGTGATCCTCCCACCTCGACCTCCCAAAGTGTTGTGATCACAGGCTTAAGCCACCACGCGGCTCGCCAATTCTAGGTAAAAAATCTTCCTAAGGCTAAAGAAAAATCTGATTAGGAAGCAGACCAACCACTTATCCTGACCGCGTGGGCACAAGATAAGTCTTTTCCATTTTCCTGTTCCTCAGGAGTCAGACCAACATAGGTTCAAATCACAGCTCCCCTCTTGCTCCTTATGTGACAAGAGGCAAATCACTTCGCTTGAGCCTCAGTTTCCCACTCTCTAAAACAGAGAGAAGGCCGGGCACGGTGGCTCACGCCTATGATCCCAGCACTTTGGGAGGCTGAGGTGGAGGATTGCCTGTGCTCAGGAGTTCCTGACCAGCCTGGGCAACAGGGTGAAACCACAAATCTACTAAAATAATGCAAAAAATTATCAGGGCGTGGTGGCGTGTGTCCATAGTCCCAGCTACCCGGGAGGCCGAGGCAAGAGAATTGCTTGAACCCAGGAGGCAGAGGTTGCAGTAAGCCAAGATCATGCCACTGCATTCCAGCCTGGGAGACAGTGGGAGACTCCATCTCAACAAAACAAAACAAAACAAAACAACAGAAGAGGCTGGGTGCAGTGGTTAACGCCTATAATCCCAGCACTTTGGGAGGCCAAGGCAGGAGGATCACTGCCTGTTATAAAATAAAATAAAATAAGGCTGGACGTGGTGGCTCACACATGTAATCCCAGCACTTTGGGAGGCTGAGGCAGGTGGATCGCCTAAGGTTAGGAGTTCAAGACCAGCCTGGCCAACATGACAAAGCTTTGTCTCTACTAAAAATAAAAAAAAATTAGCCGGGAATGGTGACCCACACCTGTAATTCCAGTTACACAGGAGGCTGAGGCAAGAGAATTACTTGAACGTGGCGGGGGACGGAGGTTGCAGTGAGCCAAGATGGAGGCACTTCACTCCAGCCTGAGTGACAGACTGAGACTCCATCTCAAATAAATAAATGAAAATAAAAATAAAGACCAGGACGGTAACTCACACCTGTAATCCCCACACTTTGGGAGGCTAAGGTGGGTGAATCACAAGGTCAGGAGTTCGAGACCAGCCTGGCCAACATGGTGAAACCCTGTCTCTACTAAAAATACAAAAGTTAGCCAGGCATGGTGGCAGGCTCCTGTAGTCCAAGCTACTCAGAAGGCTGAGGCAGGAGAATAGCTTGAACCCGGGAGGCGGAGGTTGCAGTGAACCGAGATAGTGCCACTGCACTTCCAGTCTAGGTGACAGAGCCAGACTCCATCTCAAAAAATAAAGAAATGGATAAAATAAAATAAAATAGCCAGACATGGTAGCATGCATCTGTAGTCCGAGGTACACAGGAGGCTGAGGCCGGAAGGTGGCTTCAGCCCGGGAGGTGGAGGCTGCAGTGACTATGATCATGCCACTGCACTCCAGCCCCCGCCTGGGCAACAGAGTAAGACCCTGTCTCTAAAAATCTTTTTAATAGGCCGGGCGCGGTGGCTCAAGCCTATAATCCCAGCACTCTGGGAGGCCGAGGCGGGTGGATCACGAGGTCGAGAGATCAAGACCATCCTGGTCAGCATGGTGAAACCCCGTCTCTACTAAAAAAATACAAAAAATTAGCTGGGCATGGTGGCGCGTGCCTGTAATCCCAGCTAGTCAGGAGGCTGAGGCAGGAGAATTGCCTGAACCCAGGAGGTGGAGGTTGCGGTGAGCCAGGATCATGCCATTGCACTCCAGCCTGGGTAACAAGAGTGCAACTCCGTCTCAAAAAAAAAAAAAAAAAATTTAATATGAGATAGGAGAAAGAATTGTTTCTCAGCAGATTGTGAGGATTGAATAAGATGATACAGGTATCGTGCAAAATGTTATTCGCGTCCAATACTACCGAATAGTAAACACATTTAATAAAGAGATTTTCCAAACAGGCTTTGTGTGGGTGACAAGGCCATTTTATTTCTCTCTCGGGTGCAAGCGGGATAAATGAGAGAAAGGACAGGTGAAGGGGGTAAGGGTGGGAACTGGTTTTATAGGTTGGGATAATTTTTGTGGGGTGGGGGTGTTGCAGAGTAAGATCAGTTACAGTGATGGGAGGTAGGGGCTAGGAGTATACATGGCCACAAGTTCAGTTACACTGGCGGGTGGGGTGAGGCGGAAGAGAAGATGGCAGGGTGGGGCAAGGAGTATCACATTACCATAAGCATAAGAACAGGTAAGATGGCAGGGTGGGGTGAGAGCTTGTCCTGGGAAGCTCTGCTGGGCGATTAGGGACAATGGCAAATGCAGGTGGGAAGTGGGGGACAATTAGCCGAGGCAGGCAGGCTTCAGACTTTCTGGGTCCAGGCTTGCCCATGGAGACCTGACACAAAAGGCTTTATTTAGTTTAGTTGTCACTTTAAAAGTAACAGAAGAGGCCGGGCGCGGTGGCTCAAGCCTGTAATCCCAGCACTTTGGGAGGCCGAGGCGGGTGGATCACAAGGTCGAGAGATCAAGACCATCCTGGTCAACATGGTGAAACCCCGTCTCTACTAAAAATACAAAAAATCAGCTGGGCATGGTGGTGCATGCCTGTAATCCCAGCTACTCAGGAGGCTGGGGCAGGAGAATTGCCTGAACCCAGGAGGCGGAGGTTGCGGTGAGCCGAGATCGCGCCATTGCACTCCAGCCTGGGTAACAAGAGCAAAACTCCGTCTCAAAAAAAAAAAAAAAAAAAAGTAACAGAAGACTTTTAATCAGAGATAACAAAAGTTTATACTAAAATGAATAAATTCGAACAAAAGAACATTTGATAAAAGTGGGCATTCTTTCTCCACCACTCAAAATACTACTAACATTTTGTTGTGTTTCTTTCTAGTTTTTTATTTTTATTTTTTATTTTTTTCTGAGATAGAGTCTGGCTCTGTCACCCAGGCTGGAGTGCAGTGACACGATCTTGGCTCACTGCAACCCCACCTCCCAGATTCAAGCAATTCTCCTGGCTTAGCCTCTCAAGTAGCTAGGATTACAGGCACGGGACACCACGACTGGCTAATTTTTGTATTCTTAGTAGAGACAGAGCTTTACCAGGTTGGCCCGGCTGATCTAGAACTCCTGACCTTGTGATCTGTCCGTCTCAACCTTCCAAAGTGCTGGGATTACATGTGTGAGCCACCGTGCCCAGTGTTTTTTTTTTTTTTTTTTTTTTTTTTTTTTGAGAGTGGACAGTCTCTCTGACACCCAGGCTGGAGTGCAGTGGTGTGAACACAGCTCACTGCAGCCCTGACCTCCTGGCTCTGACTTCATAAAAGTCAAGGGTCTTGCCTAAGGTCATGCCAAGTGAAGACACTGGGATTTTAACCCAGCTCTGCTGGGCTCCTTTGTGGGTGGCAGACCCCATAAGTGCTGAGGCAGGAGTCAGAAGCCTCAGCCTATTTCCATATAAATAGTGACGACGAAAATAACTAGAGATATAACCATAGTAGTTATTCATAGGTAATCTTAGTGATTAATAGTCATAGGTGATCTTAGTTCTTTTACTAATGCCTCTCAGGTCTTGAGGTGTGAACCGGGGTGACATTGTGAACAGAATGACCCTAAGACAAGACACTTTAATCCCTGTGTCACGCCCACGTAAGGGCTGCTGGAGACCGCCTCGGCCATGTGGCAGTGCCAGCGCTGGGAAAGCGCCCGCTGTTTAGCCAGCTAGGGAAGGAGATGTTCAAGATGGCCGAGACGTCTCCTTCCTCGGGGGAGCGAGGAGAAAACTCTGCTCCTCCAAGCTCCTGCGCTCGGCCCGCAGACATCGCGGTTTCATTGTCTCCAAGTGACGCTGTGCTTCAGTGGTCACGTCCATGTCCACTCTCATGATCTGCTCTGCACCTGGTTCCTTTTTTCTTAGAAGAGATAGTCAGTAAAAGTAATGTACGTCTTAATGTCTTTGCTCTTTCGTTACAAGCATGGAAAAGTGCTGACGCATCGTGCTCCTTACCTCCTCTCGGCTGCTAGAAAGCCTTGGGCCCCTGCCTGTAGGACACACAATGTGCTTGACCCTGTCACTGCCCACCAATGGCGCGCCCTACCTACCCGGCCCCCGGCTTTGTGCTCACTAAGAGTCAGAGCCTGAGGACACTGGGGGCCGCCGCTGGGCTCCGCGTTCTGGTTGGCAGTGGACCCCCGGGCCCAGACTCTCTTTTCTCTATCTCTGTGTCTTGTGCCTTTTATTTCTACAGTTTCCCGTCTTCACAGCAGCAGAGAGGGGCTCAAAGGACCCTGAGGGGCGGGACCCTACAAACTTCTAGACATAACCGGGCTAAGCAGAAATCCATCAAACTTCCACAATCTGCTGAAACACCTGAAAGAGAAATGAAGAATTGAGATGTTCTGTGGCCGGCAGAAGTGAAGGGTCCAGCACTTTTCCATACTTGTCCACAAAGAGCAAAGACGTTAAGATTTATATTACTGCCGGGCGCGGTGGCTCAAGGCTGTAATCCCAGCACTTTGGGAGGCCGAGGCGGGTGGATCACGAGGTCAAGAGATCGAGACCAT